CCTACTTCCCCTAAACCTAAGATCATATAATAAATGCCTAGCATGTCACCTAACTCCTCCAAGCTAGGGGGTTAGTAATCATACGCCTGTGTTCTACTAGCAACTGGACCATGCACTGCACACCAACGAGCCTGTCTTCCTCCGGCTCCCTGAAGATCAGCCACCAAAGCCATGTGAAGGTCAAGGCTTCCAGAAGAGCCCACCTTCATAACATCGCCAGAGTACAGACCAGGGGTTATTTCAGTAATGAGAAAAGAGTTAACAGACAAAAAGTAAATAACTGAATAACAAACATGAGGACAACATATTGGAGTAAAATGTATGATGGTGAGATTTGCTTTAAAATACTGCCTTCTCCTTCCCTCCCCTCCCTGAGCAAATTAGGAGGTGGGCGGGACAGAACAAGAATCACAGCCGATGGTTGTTAATCCTGGGTGATAGGGGTATGGAATTCATTTGACTAGTCACTCTACATTTTTCAAAACTGTGTTTTAGCATTCTTTTAAGCTGTAATTTAATCTGGCAAGAACCAAATTTATTTTAAACTTCCTTAAAAAATAATATAAGCACATACACAAAACATAAAGCACCCAGGAAAAATAAATTAAGAAAATGGATGATGGGGGTCAAAGATAAAAACTTTTAGTTCTAAGTCATGTAGACATAATGTGCAGCATGGCAACTATAGTCAATGATATTGCATTGCATATTGAAAGTTGCTAAGAGAGTAGATCTTAAAAGTTCTCATTTCGAGAAAAAGAATCTTAACTGTGTATGGTTGGTGGGGGACTCAAATGTTGGAAAAATTCCGGTTTCGGGTAATAGCTGATAAGCTTAGTAATCAATGTATGTAAAAAGCTATTGTTTCAGAAACTTAAGGCAGGACCTGCCTTGACTCCAGGAGACCAGAAGCAGTTCCACCTTTGGGCTTCAGGAGGACTGAGGGCAATTAAGATGGTATCGGAGCCATAGTACCTCACCCCCCCCAGGGCACAGGTGAAAGAATGCTGCAGCTTTTTATCTGATTAACTTCTTCCACTGAATTCCAATCCCTTTACCTACACTTTTCTTCTCCTTTAAAAAAGGGTCAGTTTAAAATGGAATTTAAGACAGTCTGTTAGGGTACAAACCCGCTCTCTTCTCAGATCCCGACCATCTGAATAAAGCGCCCATAAAGATTCAATCCCTGTCTCTGCTAATTGGGTCAGGTAGGTGACAGGCAGCATGAACGTCAGCTTTTCGGGTTTCATGGTGATATATTTTACGATGATAATCATTTTGCAATATGTACAAATATCAAATCATTTTGCTGCACTCCTGAAACTAATTTAATGTTCTACGTCAAAGATAAACACAAGACTATAAATAAATGTAGCAAAAAATTTATATTGAGTGGTAGAATGAAATCAAAGTCAACCAGTTTCTCACAACTATGAGGCAGAGAGCCACTATTCACAGCAAACAGCTCTTTCCACCAAGCCTCATGCATTTATCAATGTTTACTGGAGCTACCATCTCTTTCTTTACTGTTTTTTTTAAGGTATACAATTTGATAATTTAATATACTTATACATTGTGAAACCACCACCTCTTCAGTAATCTACCCATCCATCCATCCCTGAACAAAGTCAGACCCAATCCTGAAAATGCACCAAAATATTACCCACCTATAGTCAGTAGGGCTTTATCTGCTACCCCTTTCTGCAAAGAACAGAAACATATGTCTAGTTTCTCTGCCTAATGAGACCAGGTCAAGTCAAGAACAGGAAAGATAGCAAAACAATCAAACTCTGACATGCAAGACTGCCTCATATTAGATAGATGATAAAAACCAAAAGAAGCTCAAACCACTGCATGCCATTTATTGGGAAGATACCTATTCAGGCTTTACTCTGTGTTTTCTTACTCTCTAATTCCTCACCTCTCCATATGTTCTTTCTAGTTTCAGAGGCAGACAAGAAAGTCAAGAAATAGCTGAGAAACTCCGCAATGGCAGAAAAGGAGATAGGTTAAGCAATGAGACACTGTTTTAGAAGTTCCATCTGATAAAGCACTCACTGAGTTCTGAGACTAAGGACAGCTGCAGACTGTGCGCCTTTTCTGACATCTGTCCCTGAACAAGAAAAAAAGATTCCCTCAGCAGAATGTTTCTATGTTAGTAGGGACAACCAAGATATAGGTGACAGAAGTGTTGACTGAGCAGAGCAGCTTTAAAAGATTTTGCAAGTGAGCTGATAAAAGTTCAGCTCCCAAACCAAGGTGATTCTTTTAATCTTACATGTCATAGGGACACCGCTCAATTCATCTTCCTAGAGCAAATGTTCATAGTCCTGACCTTTGCCACCCGATTCATCTATCCAGGCATCCAGGGGAAAAACTGCCACAAAAGGGGATCCTTTGGTTTGAAGGGAATGTAACGGGGCACAGCCAGGGCTCCCTTACAGGGTATTTGTAACAGGGTCCAGAAAATGGGGTATCCAAGAAAAAATATATTCTCCCCACCCAAGGGCGGGTGGCCATGGGGGATGGGAGCCTTGAGCAGGGCCACTGAGAGTCATTTTGCATGTCAATAACAGGATAGCTTCATTCCTCATAGGCAAAGAGGATTATTTTGCACATCACCAAGGCTAATCAGGAAGGTTTAAAAGACTTAATACAGAATGTAACTGAGGGAGGAAGAGAGACAGGGCCTGCAGGAGAGACAAAGGGACACAGACTCTGGGGAACAGTGTGAAGACCATGCGGGAAGAAAGAGGGGAGAAAGGACTCTTGCTAGTGGGCCATGAGAAGGTGCCACATGGTTATGGATGAAGAGCTGGAGATCGCGGTGACGCAACGGATGGTACCGAAAACCGCGAGAGGCCTGCCTAGCCGAGCCCCGGACTTCTGTTCTTTTTTCTTCTGAAGGACGGTACCCCTGACTGGCCTGACTGGGCAAAGGGGGAAAGGTAGGACTGTATGTGTGCTGGTGATTGTTTTAAAGGGATTTTGAGGTTCAAGGGTGACAATTAGCCATTAATCAAACCTGTATAACTTCTGAATAAACAGTTCCTTTCCTTTTCACCAAACTGCCATTCAGAGCCATAATTCCAAGGGTGGGGGGCAAAGGATCTACAACTAAGGTACCCCAGGGAAGGGGGGGATCGTTTTTTTGGTAATAGTATCTGGGCACCCCCCACCCCCCCCACACAGGTCCATTTGTTCGATAACAGGAACAAGACTAAGAAGAGGAATTCTCTTACCTTCTCCAAACTTTTAAGAGAAGCTTTTCTTAAACACTGGTCAGTTCCTATCTTATGCATAATCTGAATCGTATGATGTTTTCCATTTTGCGCTGGCCACCAGGAATCCCTGAGCCAATGTGCAAGCCAAATTTACCAATGATCTGAACCTAAAGATTCAGTACTGATACCTAAAGAGCCTGAGTGTGTGTCTCTTGAATCCTAAAACAAAATGTTGCTCGCCAGCCACATGAATTCCTACTTTCGGAGAGGGAGTCAGCGTGGGTAATATTGGCAACGGCGTGATGCTGGTTCCTGTGGCTGGAGCTCAGGTGAGCTCTGAACCACACTTTATGAGACATGGCAGGGCAGAACTTGTTCAATTCCAGACACATCCATGAATTAACTCCTTTTGCCATTCAGTTATCCGTAACAGTATCGTGGGGTTTTCTCACAGGGTGTGGCCTTTAAATAAGTCTATACAAATTCTGGTGCCAGACACCGTAAAATGAAAATTAAAATAAACCCGAGGTTAAGTGCAATAAACACGCAATTGCAAAAAAGGTAAGTTTTTTATAGTTGCCCATACCTTTTGCTTTAAGTCATGTCTAACTTCAGAGGCAGGAAAGCAAGTCAAGCATGGCCCTAATATTTGGGGTGTTAGACCCATTCCCACTGTTTTTTAGGTCTTTGCTTCTCATTTAACTAACCCAATTGTTAAAGTAGTAACTGATTTGAAACTTTTCTGCCTCTCTTAAAAGTAAAAATAATGAGGTTAATAACTGATTCTTAAAGTAAGTCAAGTTATAAGACAAATTAACAAATTATACTATATGGATTAATTATACTTTATGAACTAATTATCACATACAAAATAACTTCGTAATCTGCATGGATTCCTTTTAGCTTTTACGTAACAGGAAGAGCTTGACAGAAGCTCTCCGGTGGCACTTGAGTGAGCTGTTAGTTTTGTCTCATATCTAACTAATAAGCTTATCCTGTTGTCCAGAAATATCCAGAGATATCAAACTGTGAGGTGATGGCAAAACCCAGGCCCTGCTCTCTCTAGCCACACAGCTTTTTCTATTAGATTTCCAAAGAAACACCTTCCTGGGTTACTGCCATGATGACTACTACTGAATGTTTACAGTTCCAGATGCAATCCACATAAAAATCAAGTTAATCATGTTGGCGGGGTCCTGGGATGCCAGTCATGCATAGGTCCTTAAACCATTGAGGAGGAGGTATAACACTGCAGCACAGTCGAAGTGCTCGAAACCAGTCTCCAACTGGATTAATTATTCCCTCACAACATACTGATGCCTGTGATGGCTAAGCAACCTCTCCCTGTCACTGGGATTAGCTAATAAAAGCCTGACAACCCAGTGCTTACCAAGACTCAGTTATAGTCACTTCCAAACATGTTTATGTAGGTTGACTTGTTTCTGTTGTTACACCATTTAAGTAAATATTAAGCAATCAATGAAGTTTGAGTCTGAAAAGAAAGTGAACTGTTGTTTCTATAACACTAAACTGAATGCTTTAGAAACACCTGACACAGGTAACTAACTAATATCGGCTATAGAGACAATGTTAATATTCTGAGGGAAAAATGTGACAAACTCTAGACAAATTAAGTATTTGGCTGCTTTGAAAGTTTTGATATTCTGGCACTATTTTGAAGAAAGAAACTCTGTCCCTGGCCAGGTACTTAGTTGGTTGGAGCGCCAAGTCATGTACCAAAAGGTTGCAGGTTCAATTCCTGGTCAGGGCACATACCTAGGTTGCAGGTTCGATCTCCAGTTGGAGTGCGAAAGGAAGGGAAAGGATCGATGTTTCTCTCTCTCTTAAAAAATAAAAAAGAAAAAAAAAATCACTAAGAGCCCTGGCTGGTGCAGCTCAGCGGACTGAGCGCCAGCCTATGACCCAAAGGGTCACTGGTTCAATTCCCAGTGTAGGGCACATTGCCTGGGTTGCAGGCCAGGTCCCTAGAGCGGGGTCAGGGGGTGTGGGGGGGGGGCGCGCTTGAGAGACCACCACACACTGATGTTTCTCTTACTCTCTTTCTTCCCCACTTCCCCCTCTAAAAATAAATAAATAAATAAATAAATAAATAAATAAATAAATAAAGTCTTTTAAAAAAAATCAAAAGAAACACATCCTTGGGCAAGGGTTAAAAAAATAAAGATTAGACATTGTGGATGGTACATTACGAGTGTGGTTTGCGCAAGAAGGACAGCACGGAACATAAGTCAGATGACCCGCGTCCAAAGGAGAACTCCTGACGCCGAGACAGGGCAGTGAGAAGCTAGGCAGGTTCCTTGGTGAGTGGAACAGGGAAACTGAGACAGACACTGCACGTGGCAGCTGAGCAATTTACAGCCAGGTGCAGATGGTCACCAGGGTGGCAAAACTGGGAAAACAACGACCCTGCCCCCAGGGTAACCTTTACTCTCTGGAGGAGACATCCAGGCTTCAGTTGTGTTTCAGCTCCAGTTCCAGAAAACAGCAAATAATGACTAACAAAGCAGGAAGCTAAACTAGATATAAACTTCATCTGTGACTTAGGGAAAGTTAATAACCCTTCCAAGTCAGTTTCCTTGTATATAAAAACAGGATACCACCATCTACTTCAAAGGATTACATGAGATAGTTACAAAGCACCTAGTTCAGTCCAGGCACATAGTAGGTGCTCAATAAATCATGGCTGTTGTCGTAGTCTACATTCCCACATTCAATCCCACCCTACCTGCCCCCCACCAAATGGCATTACGTTTTACAGCAACCCCCCCCCCCCCCCCCATTTAAGAATGAAAAGATTCTCTTAAAAGCAGCTGAGTCCCTACCCCCTAAGGACTCCCCGAAGCCGCAGTTCAGGGGCACTCTTATGAAGAAAGCTGTATAGGGCAAGGCCGTGTTACTTGGAGGATATGTCCCCACCCCTCAGTATACTCTTGAGAGTTCTGAAAGTATGGGGGCACTCAACATGTGATGTCAGTTGCTTGATTTGTATTATTAAATTTACTCAAAACTAATGTACAGTAAGAACAAAAGCAAAAAAGTGAAAAAAAAAAAGCTGCCCGTTCATTCTCTTTACGTCAATACTCCCAACCCATATTCTTGGGGTGAATGATGACTACGATCTCTGATGTGGCGGCTAGATCTGGAGAGCCAAGGTATACTCTCTGCGAAGAGCAGATGGTTACCCTTGGGGCGAAGGTTCGCTGCGCGCACGCCTGGAGGAGGGCTCCCTCAGGACAGGGCGGTCTGCTGGTACCCGGCAGGGTGCAGGGGCACGGTCAGCGTCTGCTTCCCTCGTCGCTCCCCAGTTCAAGGGAAGCAGATGCTGACGAGTACAAGAAAGATTAAATGTAGTTGACCTGGTCTAGTTCTTAAATGAAAGGAGACAGCCAATATGCCAAAGTAAAGGAGAAAGGCGAGAGGAGGGAGACGTTCACTTTATTTTTAACAACATTCCAACTACACACACACCTAATCACAGTTCACTCCCCCGTTCCATGAAAGAAAAAATATTTTTTTTAAAGTTCTGAAGAACAAAGTGTCCGGGTTTATTTAGATGTCTACATCTCTCTGCCTCTATGCAAATGAGTTATCTTTTCTGGATAAGCATTAATTACTACACATCCTTCGACTTTTCCCTTTAGAAAAACACAAGTTGAGAAAGCTGCCTTTCCCATTTGCCAAAGATGATAAAATGTAACAGCTCCTTACCTAAGCAACTATTCAGGTTTCAGAGGTATTCAAGATAAAGCTGTTATTTCCTCTAAAGAAAAGCTTTTCTCCTCCTCAGGTGTTAAATACTGCTTTGAAAAGAAGCCCTTAAGAACAAACGAGTTCCGTGGGGCTCTGAAGGGCTGAGGGTGATCGGATCTGCCCTGGGGAGGCATATCGGCATGTGAGGATTGTGGTGCTAAATCATGTCACTTCTCTTTAGTACAGGACTTGGGAATACCTTCTGCTTACGACGTGCACTTCAAAAGCCTGAACACAGAAATAACTCCATCCCTGGACTTTGTGCTGTGGTATGCTAATAAATGTTTTAGAATACAGTTAATATCATACTGTATATTTTTCTCATTAATAAGAGAGGCAGGATTGTTCTTTGCCTACTCTCTCTGATCATCTTAAAAGGTAGAATTCTTTGGAAAATAGTAGTTATTTACTTGGAAGTGACAATTAACAAGGAATATGTATGCACATCAAATGGAAACCCCCAAAGCAAACCACCTGAAAAGCCAAATTAACAGCTCTACAGATGCAGGGAGTAGGCATCTAAACTACTTGCAGGAACCACCGGATTTTGAAATATTAAATATTGGAATGAAATTACCCTAGAATTTTAAATTACCAGCTTTTATTCAAAATGGTTAATAAAAGCAATAAATTAGTAATTTGAACTTTTAAAGAACTTTTAATTATTTGAACACTACAGGCCAAATAAACTGCACAACTTTTCTTTGCAATACAAAGCTAACGGTGCCCCAACAGGTTTGGGCTATCACTACTGTGAACTTTTTGGTATCACTTCTCAAAGGTGAGCTCCTGGTCAATTCTTGCTATGTCTGGTAACATCTGTAAAGACAGCATATATTCAGTTCTCAATTCAATTAAACCAAGAATCCCAGTTACTATCAAGCTACCACCTGACGAAATTAACTAAAACTGCTGAAAATCACCTAACAGTTCACTTTTGATACAGATATTTACTGGGGAGGCCTCACAATGACAGAGACAGTCTGTCTCTGTGGAACAGAAGAAAAAAATATATGTGTTATTACTCAAGACAGTACTGAGCCCCAGTATATATATTGCACAGTTCTAGCCAGGAGTTTTCTACGGACCAAGTTATTCAAAAGAATAAGAAAAGAAATATTAGTCATGGAGAGCAAATTCTTAACAGTGACAGGTTACATGAAATGCCCAGGAAACCTACAGAAACAGAAAATAGATCGGTGGCTGCCTTGCGATGGCGATGGGGATGGGGATTAATTAGAAAACGGCAAGAGGGAATTTTTGGAGTGATGAAAATGCTCTGAAACTGATTTACGGCGCTGGTTTTATAACTCAGTGAATTTACTAAATATCTCTGAATTCTGCACTTAAAAGAGGTGGCTTTTATGGCATGAAAAGTATACCTCAATAAAGTTTTTAGTGTTTTTTTAAGTGACAGAGTGATCATTTGGACTTAAGCATTTTCATTGGGACTGAGAAGTAACTAAGTAACAGTCTGCGCAAATTTCAGTCTTGAGACTGTTCACCCCAGTTCTGTCTAATAGCCTGAATTTCAAAAGAGGATTAATTAAATTATAATACTTTCATATGCTAAAGTATATGCACCTATGATAAGTGATGCAGGGAAAATGTGACAACAACCTAAATGTCCATTAATGCAAGTAGTACATCAAAAGAAATTATGGTACAGCCATCCTCTGCAATTAGTGCAGCCCAAACTACACAGCCAATTAAAAAATGTGAGATTATACACAACACATACAGAAATATGTGTGGATCACCTGTGTATGTGCATGTGTTTACATGTATACTTAGAAAGATAAATTCCAAATTGTTGATAATGTTTAGCCCTTGGAAGTACAAATGGGAGAGGAAGAGTATTTTCAACCAAAGTTCATGGAAACTCATTGGAAGTATGTGCATCCAAGGGCTGAAAATAGTTGTCACTGGATAGGTGGGATTTCTATAGCTTTTTTTTTTTTTAATGTTCTTTTAAATTGACTATACTTTCTTATTGGAGGGGAAGATTAGCATAGTGGTTAAGAGATGGTCCAGATTTAAACCCTGGCTCTTCTGTTTATTTGCTGTGAGATCTTGAGCAAACTGGTCAACCCCTCCAGGCTACAGCTTTCTGCCTCGTTAAACTGAGGATAATAAGAACACCTACTCCACAGCCCGTGAGGATAAACTAAGCATATTATGTACACAAGTCACTTAGAACAGAGTCTAGCACATAATACGTATTCTTTGTTAATGCTAAACAGCATGCATACCAGTGCCTTATTAGTAAGAAGAAAACATGACCAGAAACTATTTCGGGGCAGGAGGCGGGGGCGGTGGGAAGGAACAGGTGCAAAAACACAGGCACTGACTGATCCCAGGTATGTTTATTACCAGTATGTGAGCAGAATGTATTGGGCACAAATCAAAATCTGGACAGTTGTCAGAGCCTGATTTATGACCAACACTGAGGTGACCAGTATCTCTGTGAGGCACACCGAGGCCAGAGGGTACCCTGGCAGGAAGCTCCCAAGTGCCTTGGCTGAATGTGTTGTAACAGACTCATAAATGTGGGAGATAATTAGCGTGTGTGACCAGACCAATGGGCAGAGGACACCTGAAACATGAATGCTCCGATATAAACACATGCCTAATAATTGTCCTCAGTGGGACTTGTGGCCTCATCTTGGGACGTAACAATACAAACCAGGGTCAATTATCTGACACCTGAACTAGCAATAGGAAAAATAATTAACCATTGCATTCTAATAACACAGAGCAAATCTGACTTTTTGAAAAAAGGCAAGTTGTAAAGTCCCCCCACTTCCATAGCTTAAGGTGTCAGAGAACTTTAAACTTTCGCAGTCCTTAAGATCTTTCCCAACGGCCACCCTCTCACTCTGCACAGTACTAGAAACTCTTCTTCACGTGAGGACACATACTGTTGAGAGGTTACTATGTACCAAATTCATCTACTTCTCCCAAAACTCTTTGAGGTAGATATTTTAATCTCCACTTTTACAAATTTAGAAGACTGGGCTCAGAGACAGTATTTTCCTGACTCGGGTCCACCTGTGAGTGGCAGCACCGAGA